TTGCACAGGGCCCGGGCGCTTAGTCACACGCTGCTCCCTGGGCAGCCCAGGGAGTGGTGCTGGGCAGCACGGCCAGGCAGCAGCTGCAGCGAGAGGCCCTCTGGAGGCCTGGTGCATGCCTGGGGGGGCCAGAGGGAGACTCTGCTCTGCACCGCACCCTGGGGCAGACCCACAAAGCTTCCCGTGGCACGTCGGGCATATGGCACCAGCGCCATGTGCCTCCACCCCTTCCCGGGTGGCCAGGACAAGCCGCCAGCCCAGCTCGCACTGCCAGGGGCTGCCCTCCTCCCTCCTCCTTCCCCCGCAGGCAGGAGGGACAAGCCAGGGCTGAATGACCCGGCAAACAAGACCGCCAAGGCGAAGGGGGAGGGGGCGTGGACCAGGCGATCCTGCCCACGGGCCTACATGGCGGACAGGAGGGATCCAGCTACCGACAGGCAGAGGGGAGGTGATGGGGGGAGTCCCTGCCCGGATGATGTGGGGGTGCAGCTGACGGGAGCCCAGCACAGGCCGGGGTGCTGAAGGAACATCCCAGGAAAGACACGTGCAGAGACACACCCAAAGGCTGCCAGGAGGATGGCGTGTGCTGAGAATTGGAGCCCCAACATGGCCGCCCTGGGGATCAGATTTGGCCTGCCGAGCCCTCAAGCCTTGATTCCCCCCGGCAGGACCAGCCGCCGGCCGAAGGCCCGGACCCCCAGCTCCGCGCTGCCCCAGCTCCCCGCTCGGGGCCTGCCCAAACACAAACACAAGTTGCCTGAGATGTTGTTTGTCTCTCCTGGCTGGGACCCCTCTCCCCACTCGCTGTTTGGCTTGGCCCATGGCAGCTGGATAATGTGTTTCCATTGCAATGAGCCCTAATTAACTGGAATCAACTTTTTACACTAAGTGTGTTTGTTTAACAAACTGGCCCTTTCAGAGCCCGGCCGACGCGCCGGAGGGGAGTGGAAACGCCGCGCTCGGCGCTCGAGACGCTGCCTCTGGGCAGGCCAGCGCTGAAAAGGGCTCTCTCTGTGTCTGCACGATGGAAAGTGACACCTCCCGGGCCTGGGCTGGAGCGGTCAGCTCAGCCTCTGGGTACAAGCCTTAGGGCTGCTGCTTACTCTGCAGCCTGCCTGGATTTACACAGCCCAATCGACCTCGGGGCAGCACCAGGAGCTGCTGTAAGCTCCCCCGACCGCCCCGGCAGAACATGCCACAGCTGGGTGCCCCACCCTGTTCCTGACAGCACCTCCTGCTGGGAGAAGGGGGGATCTCAGGCAGCAGCCGGGCCCCACGCACCAGGAGTGGGGCTGGGCTGGTTCCCCACTGCTGGGTCTCAGAGCCCAGGGGGCCAACGTGCAGCCTGCAGCTTGGCAGGGCAAGTCCCGGAGGCGACTGGAACCCGTAGGGAATACTCCTATTGGATCGCTGGTCAAGGTGGAGCAATGCATGCTGGGATGTGGAGCCTCGACAGGCTAGCTCTGGTTGGGGTGTGCCAGTCCCACACGTCTTTCCGACTCCTGGCAATGTGCCATACAGCTCTCCCTTGATCACATTCTAGGGCTGCGCCCCCCACGTCTCCCAGGCCAGCCGCCGTGGGCGGGGAATTGGGCAGCGGGAGAGAGCGAGAGGGAGCAGAAAGAGTGAGAAGCAGACAAGACGAGGGACACGGACACAGAAAAGGAAAAAGGCGGACGAGAGCAGAGACATGGGAACGGCCCGGGCAGCCCGGCCTGAGGGAGCCCGGCTCGGACAGGAACAAGTCTGGGAATGACTGGAGTGTGGCCTGGCGAAGGGCAGCAAAAGCTCTCCCCTCCCCCCCGACCC